TTTTTTTTTTTATTTTGGCTCTTCTCTTTTACTTGATTTCAGTTGTCGACTTCTAAACGAAAACATGTGTTTCAGTCTGTATCCATGCTAAGGTTCAAATTCTTATTCTTCTTTGTTTAATTGTTTTGCTAGTCTGTAAATTCCCTTCAGATCTACCGTTCACACTAACCCGTCACGAAAACAGAGCTTTAAGAAACGCTCCTCAAACCGGAGGAATTTGAAAACGCCAGCTTTTCGCTTTCGTGTGGACGGAAAACATTTTGAAAAGGAACACTTTTGAACACGATGTCGTCACGATAACCATGTGATTTCCCTGACTGAGTTTTACTCAGACACAAACCCAAAATAACCGGTGATTGTTGCGTCCTTTTTTTTTGTTTTTAATTTCTTCGGTGTATTGTCGACGGTAAACATTTGACGGGTTTTCATAGTGAAACCTCTATTTTGAAATTCCTACGGCGTGGTATGGACGAAATGTCAGGAAAAAAATGAAAAGTCAACTGCGCGTGGCTGTTAGAAAACATGTTGATGTTGTAAATTCAAAGTGAGTAGAACCCACTTCGCGTTGTCTGAATGCGAGTATTCACTTTCGTTTTCTTGCTTTGTCAACGCTAAATAATTCCGTAATTTTAAGTTCGAACAACTTAAATTGTCACTTCTCTCTTGCAATGTGAGACATTTCATTTTAATGATGTTTTTTTGTTTTGTTTTGTTTTAATTTTTTTTTGTTTCGAACACGTGAATACCGTGAAGGATGTTTTTGAAAACTTATGTAAACAAATTCAAAGACACCTTACACTGATGTCGATCCAACACTTTTTCCTACAAAGAAGCGCGCAAATGTCTTCCCTGCGGGACAGAGTTTCCCTTTTCTTCCTGCTCGATCGCTGAGAGACGAGAGGAAACCTCTGCTCGCAATCGCTCGACCGTTTGATCACCACGGACGAAAAAATTATTGTGAAAGTCAAAAAGCCGTGAACACTTAAATTTGATTTTGACATGTCAATTGTGTGGCCACCACTCAGATG